ACATTTTTTCAAAAAGCGGTCAAAGACATGCAGAGTTTTCATTTGCTTGATTGAGTCATTTTACATTTTATACTATAATTCTTCGATCTGTCTTCATCAATTTAGTCTTATATCAATAAATAAATAAATAAAAATAAAAAGCAGATGTTGCACATTTTTTTCTTTCACAAAAACTATATAAGATATCTTTTCAGAACTTTAGGCCATCTCCAACCGAGGGCTGGCCAGATGGCTCGTTTGAGCCCTCTGGCCCTCCAAGATTCCCCAAGATATTAATATTTTAATGAACAGTACATGGCCATATTTGCCTCCGTCTCCAACCGAGGGCCAGAGGGCCAAAGGGCTCGTTTTAGCCCTGTCACAAAAAACCGTCTCCAACCGAGGGCTAAAGGGCCATAGGGCCAAACATAATTTATTATTTAAAAACTACAATTTAATGTTGTATAAATGGCCTAGGAAGTTATACGAAAAAAATAGAATTGAAAAAAAATATGAAACAAATTTTGTGAAATAGAAGTTATAGGAAAAAAAATATGAAAAAAAATTTGATTCATATGAAAAGGAAAAAAAAAGGGAAAAAAAGAAGTTTAAATTCATTAAAAAAAAAAAAAGAAGTTTAAATTCATTAAAAAAAAAAAAAAAAAAAAAGAGGCCTAATAATCCAACAATTACTAGACGTTACATTCAAAAACATTTCAAACTATTAGTGTCGGTTATAACCGACACTAATAGTAGAACTATTTAAAAAAAAAAAGCTCTTTAATGCTGTCGGTTTTAACCGACAGCAATAGGAAACATTAAAAAAAAAAAAAGCCAGCCCTCCAGCCCTCCAGCCCTCTCCGATCCCGTGGGGCCCTCCCAGATTCCAGAGCCCTCTGGCCTAGCCCTCGGTTGGAGACGGTTTTAGGGCTATTTTCGGCCCTCTGGCCCTCTGGACCCTTCGGTTGGAGATGACCTTATAACCAACACAACCACCATTGTACTAACAATGTAATAGCAGAGCCAGAAATTTTTTCTTGGGTGGGCTAACTAAAATTATTAGCATGTAATCATATGATATTTTTTTTGCCTACAAAAATTATATAATAATCTACATAAAGTAAGAACATGAAGCACTAATCCAAATGAGTTTATTAATTACTTTCCAACTAATTTTTACACAAATAAAACATGCAGATAAAAAAGCAATAGAAAGAGAACAAATATTATCACTTTTGTTGATAACAAGTACCCAAAGGAAAAAAAGGTTAGGGGATACCAATTCAAGTTGTGTCGTAGATATCTGTAATGGAATTAAAATCTTTTGTTATTATCAGAATTGATATTGTTGTCGAGCCTTTTTTATTAGTTACATTCAAGAACCATGAAACATGGACTATTCCCAAAATCTTTAACCCTAATTGACAAATTCAAGGACTAAAAAAAATTAACCTAACAATTGAATCAAGAAATAAGTTAAATGAAGAGATGAAGAACATACTTAGTGTTGAATTTTGTTAGAAAATAATTTGATGGTGATTCATAGTTTTTCTTTTCTTGGGAAAGCAACGCAACTTTGTGGAATAGGGTAGAGGTTTTTTTTTTGTTTTGAACGAATAGGGTAAAAAGCATGGGGAGTAGGAGAAACCTAATTATGTATTAATTTACCATTTTTTACTTTTAGCCTAAAAATAATAAAATTATATATAAGGTAATAAAAGTATTATTTGACAAAAAAAAAGTATTATTTATAAATTAAGAAACACATTAACTATTAGTTTTGGCAGGATTTGGATGAGTTATTATACCTACAATATGCAATAAGAAGTTCATATATAAACTATTATAGCTGCAGTTTGTTAAAATCCTCTCTAGGCGATAGCCCACTGTAGTCGTGGGTGTAGGTCCGCCAGTGTAACAATGATAATATGATTTGTGGATGATCAGAGAATACTTACATGAAACAAAGACGTTAAGCTGATTGACTCAAACCGATCATGCAAGACCAAGTATAAAAGTTAAACCACATAATAACACGTGATTTGGGTATAGGACACTGTCAATTTGGCATCTCCATTTTAATTTAAGTCTCTCTGCAATAGGGATGATTGGGCCTTTAGCAGGCCAGTTAGCATGTACGTATAGCCCACATCATTATCAATTGGATAATCAGCCCTTAAGTAGTCCAGTTTAGAATGGTTTTGTGTAAACCCAAATTTTCTCTTTGAACAGCTTTGTTTTTCTGAACACTCAATTTACTCTCATATTTCTTTAGACACCCAGAATAATTTACTAAACTTCCAAGAATACTCTTTTATTTTTTATGAATTCATTGTTCTACATACCCATTTCCTTGTATTTGAGAGGAGTTTTAGAGAAGCACGACAAAGTGAAATTTAGATAAGCACAATAAAGCGAGATTCGACAGTCGCTTAATTACCACATTATTTTGTTTCCAAACCGGATTCAAACCCAAAGAAAATAATTGTTTTTCTTAAGAAATCACTTAGCCCTATGTAATACTTTTATATATGGATATAAGAGTTTTTATTTTAAATAAAATTGATAGGTTTCTAGAGACGAAACTTGAGTGAACAAAAACGACGACAGAGGAACAACTGAACAAGGCATCCAAGATCATTCAACAAAACAATACAACTATGGTTTCATTTGTCCAGCAAAGTATCAAAAGTAATTAAACTATTCAGCTAAAACCGTAGTGAAAGTATTATCTTACAAGCTGATACAGAATTATACATGCTTGCCTCGGAAGTTTAGTTTATCGAAGCATTTATCTCTCTCGTCGGATCAAACACATTACAGTTGCACATTTCAGGTTGGAAAAAGAAAATTAGACTATTGCCTCCAATGTTTCGTGGGTTAAAGTTCTTCTTGATGTTGTTACTCTGCTGCCCCACACAACCAGCTGCCTATTCTTCTTGCTAATTCATTTTCGACTTCCTGTTCTCGAGAGAACAATGGATGGATGACGCTCGATTAGGCGGAGTGTAAAACTTATTCTTCAGTATCCTCAACAGATTTCTTGTATTCCGGCTTGAGCTCATAAGTACCCTGGTTCGTTCCCCTTTTGTTGTAAACGCAGAGCTCATTCAGTATCTCTTTCAAGAATTGCTGCAGATGAAACATCCAAAAATTGTAAGATTGCACAGTTGAAGCATTATTTGTCGCTGTCGCATTTATGAAACTAATTCCAAATTTTCGAAAATACGGAGTATAGCAGTTAGCTTAAGCATAAACAAAACGACTAAAATACTAACCGCAGGTTGATTGGTTTCTTGCACCAGCTGCTTCAAGGTCCAGTTTGGTTGTTTTTGTTCAAATAACTTGAACACTATATCCTCCAGTTCCCCACGATCTCTTCTAGTCCTTTTCATGTCTGATTGTTTAACCGGTGCTGTTTTCTTCTTATCCTGAAATAGATAATTCAAGAAAATTATTCCTTGTTTTGGTATTAGTTTGTAGAAATGGATGAATATGAAGCAAACGGATACCTTTGAGGTGGATGAAACCAAACCGATCATCCCAGGCATGGGCCTCATAAGTACTCCTCGGTCATTGTCGATCATCTTTGGAATAAAATAAAAGCAACAAGAGAGACAATCAAAACCTGTTATTCATATACCATCGGAACTGCTGTATCAGAAACACATGGAAGAAAATGGTACCTGTATTTGTCTGTTCTTGATCATGGATTTGTTTGTCCTTTCACGACACAGCTTCCCATACTCCTCAATGTTAGTACCGTGAGGCTTCATATCAAACTTGTGATCCACTTTACCTTCCACGGAAACTTTGCCTACAATGAAAGCAAAGGCTTTTGACAATTTTTATCGACCTCAAAACTAAACGGTCTACAACGACGAGAGAGTGTAGTAAAATGGTGAGCAGGAAAACAAAAGCAGGACATATAACAAATGACATGAACAAATTGGCCATCAATAGAGCTATACTTATTAAGGAACAAGTTTCTGCAGGTCATCCTGCATATTATCTATAACATAGATGCATCATATGTCTTGGAACCAATCAATTTATACAGCCCAAGACTTAATTTTCGGCATTTTTTCTAATGTGCAGTAGTCTAAACCCTGCATAAAGGTCTTAAACCCTAAACACATCGTGAAAGAGAAGAAATTTTTGCAATCAACGGAGTTGATCATTAGTTTAAATGTGCAGTAAACAAAATGAAGAATCTCAACTCTATTAGATATTTACGAAAGGAAATCTACGAACACAACGAGTGTCAGCAAATTGAATTCCTAAACCTCACCTTGATTTGTTTCCGAAAACGCACATGGGAACGAAGTCTTTAAACATATTCAAGGAATAACTTTGTGGCAAATTCGCAGCCGCGGAGCCAGGCATCTCCATCTTGAACTGATTGCAAAACCAGAAATCATAATCAACCAAATGCAGAATGCAAACGGAGCATTCGAAAACCAATCAATCAGTGGCAGAGCATAACAACAATTAGGGTTTTGCTCTAAAATCACTAGTCATAACCTCAATTAAGCTACTAGTCAACTGAACTAACCCCAAATCCTTCAAATTTCTAACCCTAATTCAAAATTGTATATCAATAACTCCGACAAGCGATCGAATTGATAGAAAGCAATAAGAACCTCCATGGCAGAGGGGTCGTCGGCGCGGAGGGGGTCAAAAGAGAGGACGACTTTGGCGATCGGGTGGGGATCGGAAGGGTTGTGGGAGCTCCACGACTTGGCGACGACCACCGGGCACTTCATCAGCCATACCGGAGCCTCCGCCCTCCCCGTATCCATCCGACTGCTGCTGCTGCTGTTCCGCGCTCCTCCTCCGTCGAATCTCTCTCTCTCTTCTCGACGCCCATAGTTTTTAGGGATTTTGTTTGTCACTGGCCAGGAAGACTTGAAGCTTCACCGCAGAGTCAAGAGACGGGGACGCTGTCTCGGCTTTTGGGTTATAATCCCCTGCATTGCAGCTTTTATATGGAGCAACCTGTAAACTTATGGGCCTAAAATCTTATAGCCCGGTAGGACGGCTGGAGTGCTCGGCCCGGCCCAAAATTACAAGTTTATTCCATTTTATTAAAAAAAATTTTAAAGAAAAGTTTCCGGTTCTGTTCACTTTAACGAAAAATCATATTTTTATAATAAAAAATCAATCATAATACTATTCATTTTATGTTATATTTTTTCCTTATCGATAAAGCTCAAAATTTTCAAATTCAGATTAAACCCTACCGTTTACCTTGGAGACCTTTGCCTCTCGCTCGCTCTCTCTCTCTGTCTTTGTCGATCTTGGCATCTGTCAGTTTCTGACTCTCTGATCGTATTTCCACAGTTCAAAGTAGAAACACAACCAACGAAGCGACAATGAGAAAACCCAAATCAAAGAAATCTCGCATGCAAAGTAAACACTCGGAGCTCCAGGAAGTCGAGCTTCTGAAATCGTGGATCGAATCCCAGCAACCCGAACGTGGTTCCAACCCCACATCTCTCCCCGCTTTGCCCTTGGACGCCCGCGCTGGCCGCCTCGACTCCACAAGATTTTCGCGCTACGCCGGCGCCACCAGGTTCGACCAGCTGCCCATCTCTAAGAAGACCAAGGACGCCTTACGCCAATCCAAGAAGTATGTCCAAATGAGCGATATTCAGAGGGCGTGTTTGCCCCACGCCTTATGCGGCAGAGATGTTCGCGGTGCTGCCAAGACTGGCTCCGGAAAGACTCTTGCTTTTGTTATTCCAGTAAGTCTGTTGGGTGGCGTCGTCTCTTTGGTTTTTTTTTATTAAACAATTTAAGAACTTATAGTTGCCTTTGCCTTGTTTTCAGATTGTGGAAAAATTGTACAGAGAGAGATGGTGTCCTCAGGATGGGGTGGGCAGCATCGTAATCTCTCCAACAAGGGAAATAGCCAGTCAAACATTTGATGTGTTGAGACTGGTGGGGAGGCACCATAGTTTTAGTGCTGCCCTCCTAATTGGAGGTCGCCGAGGAAAACATGTTGAAGCAGAGAAGGCACTCGTAAATGAGTGCAACATAGTGGTTTGCACGCCCGGCCGGCTTCTTCAGCACATGGATGAAACGCCGCATTTTGACTGTTCACAGCTTCAGGTCGACTTTATCGTCTCTATCAGTAATATTGTATTGAATCTGCAGTTGCTTCTTGTTTCTTAATTTGCTTTATTCTTTGACTTAATGTAGAATTTTTTTATGTGTATTTCATTAAGAAACAATTACAAGATGAAACATATATATAGGGAAAGAAAGTAGACATAAGCCTAACTTGCCTAACTTGCCTAATTTCCTAATTTGCCTAACTTGCCTAACTTGCCTAATTTACACAAAGAATGTTAACTAGCCTAAACCACTAGCCATCCAATACTCTCACTTTTCCAACACTCCCCCTCAAGCTGGATCGAGGGGATTCCTTGAGCCAAGCTTGGACAGAATGCGCATGAATTGAACCGTAGAAAGAGGTTTAGTAAAAATGTCAGCCAATTGATCATGACTGCGAGTGTAATGAGTGTTGATGATGTTGGCTTGAACCTGTGCTCGAACATAATGACAATCCACTTCAATATGCTTCGTTCTCTCGTGAAATATAGGATTGGAAGCAATATGCATGGCAGCTTGATTGTCATAGAACATAGATATAGGTTCCTTACTGTGAAACCCTAAATCAAACATAAGACTTGTCAACCATCTTGGCTTCATAATGTTCTCCAGCCATCTGGGCTTAGAGTAAAAGAAACTTAGCGGAAGCCATCTTGGCTTCATAATGTTCTCCAGCCATCTTGGCTTAGAGTAAAAGAAACTTAGCGGAAGCCATCTTGGCTTCATAATGTTCTCCAGCCATCTTGGCTTAAGAGTAAAAGAAGTTCTCCAGCCATCTTGGCTTAGAGTAAAAGAAACTTAGCGGAGGCCATCTTGGCTTCATAATGTTCTCCAGCCATCTTGGCTTAGAGTTCATAATGTTCTCCAGCCATCTTGGCTTAGAGTAAAAGAAACTTAGCGGAAGCCATCAACAGAGCCAGGAATTTAGAGTTCCTGCTCTGATACCATATAGAATTTTTGATGTGTATTTCATAAAGAAACAATTACAAGATGAAACATATATATAGGGAAAGAAAGTAGACATAAGCCTAACTTGCCTAACTTGCCTAATTTACACAAAGAATGTTGACTAGCCTAAACCACTAGCCATCCAATACTCTCACTTTTCCAACACTTAATTACATCCACACTAGCTTGGAACTCAAACTTGGTCTCACTTAACCTCGTGCAACTCAAACCGTCAAGTCTGTTAACATGGAACTCAAGTTATCCCCTTTTTTTGGGTATTCATGACAGTAGTATTTCTCCATTGTCTCTATATATATGTAGGACCCCGTTCTTAAGAGGGATCCATTGTTCAGGGCACTCCGACCGTGGGTTTCAATAATCAAAACCATCTAGTTTTTAGATACCCTTTTAAGAATCATCTTTACAAAAAATCGTCAAAATCCATGACCGTTTGACCATTTGATGATTCAAAATTGAACGGTTCGGATTACCAAATAGCATTTACATGTTTGGGCTCACATGCAATCCCCTTCCGTGATTAGTAGAAAAGGCATCCCTATTATGAAGCTTCTCCTATATATATATATGTGTGTGTGTGTGTATACGTATGTATGTATTTATTTTACTGCTGATTTGGGTGGACTTTCACGGCTGTGGAGCAGGTTTTTGTCCTTGACGAGGTGGATAGTATGCTCAGCGATCCAAGTTTTAAGCAGAATGAATGCAATCATTTCACAGCTACCGAAGCAAAGGCAAACCTTACTCTTCTCGGCAACTCAACCGAAGGATGTTAAGGATCTCGCAGCTCTATGTTTGAAGGATCCAGAATTTCTCAGCGTGCATGAGAAGTCTGTGACAGCCACTCCTAGTAATTTGCAGCAAACATTTGTCATCGTTCATCTTCACCAAAAGTTAGAGATGTTGTGGAGGTTCATAAAAAAAAATCTAAAATCTAGGGTTCTAGTGTTTCTATCAACCAGAAAGCAGGTAAGTCGACCTTTGTTACGTGATTTTGTGTTTTTTGACAAATGTTACCGTCTTTTGTACGTTTCTTAATGATTCGTTAAATTACACTTTATTTGCTGAATAGTACTTCATGTACATTTTTCACGTGCTACCGATCCATGATTTACTAAGTATGATTGTCGAATTGGTGTATTAATAGGTACAATTTATATATGAAGCATTTACAACGCTTCGTCCTGGAATATCCTTGATGGCTTTATATGGTAAGTTGGATCAACTTAAAAGAATGGCTACGGCCTCAGAGTTTAGTAAACAACCTTCAGTACTTTTTTCGACTGATGTGGCTTCAAGAGGCATTGACTTCAACCAGGGAGTCGACTGGGTTGTTCAGGTGAGTTTTTGTCTTCACCATAAGCTAGAAAGGTAAAAGGAAGCTCTGATGGAATTTGTGATGTTGCATCTTTTTCGCATGTGCAGGTGGATTGTCCAGGAGATGTTGCATCTTACATACACAGAGTTGGTCGAACCGCACGCTATGACTCGGTAGGGAAATCACTTTTATTTCTGATGCCGTCGGAAGAAAAAATGGTTGAGAAATTACAAGCGGCAAAAATACCTATACGGGAAATAAAGGTAAAGTGATTGTACTTTTTCTCTATTTTCCACATCTTTCTATTGTTCCTGCCATTGATTTGTGGCCTACGCTAAATTAGCTGTTCCACTGATTTCTCAGCCTAACAAGAACGTAGTGCAATCAGTGTCTGGAAAGTTGGCAGATTCTATAGTCCAAGACCCAGATCTACACGGTCTGGCTCAAAATGCCTTTAAAACGTATCTGAAGTCTGTTGACAAGAAGGACAAAGAGATTTTCGACGTTACAAAACTACCAATTGATGAGTTTTCTGCATCGATAGGTCTTGCATCGACCCCCAGAATCCGCTTTTTAAACAACAAAATCAAGTCCGCATCCAAGAAAGTATCAGAACTATCTCCCACTGTTGAACCAGAGCATTTGGACAAGGACAATGAATTGGAGCTGCTTCGTAAAGAGGAGCTTGATCTTGGTTATTCTAGTGACGAGGAAGGGGATAAAGATCCTCTTCTAACAAATGATATAGCACATGCCGCAGAAGGGGAAGGAAGAAAAATTGAACATATTTTGTAAGTTTCTTGCATATTTTATACTTGTTTTAACTCAGATGATTAGCTTAAAGGGCAGTATGATAACATTTTAGTTTTGAGTAAATTGTACAAATGGTCCCTCAACTTTAATCAAATTGGAGCAATGGTCCCTCAACTAAAAATCCATTACCATTGGTCCTTTAACTTATCAAAATGTGTAGCTATAGTCATTTTCATCAATTTTGTCAAAATTTTGTCAAAATAAGCTATGTTGGAATGACCATTTATATAATTAGGGTCCCTTAACTTATCAAAGTGTATAATTATGGTTCTTTTCGTCAACTATATCAAAAAATTTGTCAAAACGAGTTATATTGGAATGACCATTGTTACAATTGGGTTAAAGTTAAAGGACCATTTCTCAACTTGAATTAAAGTTCAGGGACCAATGGTAATGGATTTTTAGTTGCGGGACCATAGCTGCACGTTTTGATAAGTTGAGGGACCAAAGGTAATGGATTTTTAGTTGAGGGACCATTGCTCCAATTTGATTAAAGTTGAGGGACCATTTGTACAATTTACTCTATAGTTTTTTGTTTTCAGTTTTCATGGAGTCAACAAAAACTATAAGCTAAACGTGACTTGGTTATCGAAGAAGATCTTGTCCAGCTTTAGTAATAGTGGATGCATTTGTAGAATTTTTCAGGTCGACGGGCCGAGGGCACACTCCAACAACATCGATATTGTCCCCACTTAACCACCTGCACAATCCTCATGTGTGGGGTTTTATCACAAAAGGCCTCGATGTTAGTTAGAGTGGGGTAATTCTATATAAACTGCTCTTTCTTCTTCCCTCTGTCTGATGTGGGACACACTGAGTTTCAACACTCCCCCGCACGTGAGACCCCATTTTATGGGTCACACGTGGAGATCCACACATCGGCAACTATGTGGAGCCATGTCGGGACTCACCCATCACGCGGGGCCAATGGGAACCCACCCAATCACATGGCATCTTTGGCCTACGTGGAGCCATGTCGGGACTCACCCATCGCGTGGGGCCAAACGGGGACCCACCTAATCACGTGGCAGTACGGGTCCATCTCCTGGCTCTGATACCAAATTGTCATATCCCGGCTCGGGCCCCCACCACATCCCGGGCTCGACTCCACCGTAGCACGATATTATCCTCTTTGGGCCCCAACCACGGCCTCACGGTTTTGTTTCTGGGAACTCACACTAGAACTTCCCAGTGGGTCACCCATCATGGGATTGCTCTCACGCGAACTCGCTTAACTTCAGAGTTCTTACGGAATCCGAAGCCAGTGAGTTCCTAAAATGTCTCGTGCTAGGTAGAGATGAGAATATACATATAAGGCTTATAGGATCCACTTCCTTGGGCGATGTGGGATCTCACAATCCACCCCTCTTAGGGGCCCGACGTCCTCGTCGGCACACTTCCGGCCGACGAACTTTGAACCCATAATACTTATGTGACTCGCAGGTCGCATTGTACAGCATCAACTCGGGTTTTCAAGAAGTTAAAGATCAATATCCATAGACCAGTGGGAACTAGAGTTGTTTTTTACGAGGAAGGCAACACGCTACCACCACTAGCAAGGCTGGCTGATACCAACAATGACAGTGGTCCGCTCGATCAAATTCAAGGTATGCATTTTCGCAGGGCCGACCCTGAGGGTAGCCCGAGTAGGCGGCCGCCTAGGGCCCCCACTTCGGGAGGGCCCCCAAATTTTTTATTTTTTTTATATATAGGGAAGTGTTAGGGAAGTGTTATTGACACTTCAAAAATCTCATCATACACTCTTATACAAGTGTATTTTTCTTTTCGAATATAGAAAGTTTGGAATGTAGAATGAGAATTTTAGACTGCCAATAACAATTTTCTATATATATATATATATATATATATATATATATATGTATGTATGTATAATTTTGTAGTTTGAGTAAAACATCCAAATATGAGATTATAAATATTTTTTTGGAACTTGCCGTGCAGCGTTTTGAGTGGGGGTGGGGGTGGGGGGGGGACCAAAATATTTCTTTTTAAATATGTGTGTATAATATATATATATATATATATATTTAGAGTTTGAATTTAATAAAATATTTAAATATAATTGTCTTGAAACTTGGCGTACAAAGTGACTTGGGTGGGGTGCAACTTTAGCAACAATTCAACTTCTTTTTTTTCGGAATTTAACGCAAGTCAGCACCTGCGAATCGATTCTTTCCCACTTACAGAGGTTAGGTAATCTCTTCACCGTCACCGATCAATGCTTTTCTTCTCTTCTGCTTTTTGTTCTGTAATTTAATTTGTGAGTGGGTGCTGTGTTTGTAAATATAATTAGAATTTTCGATTCTAGGGTTTGTGATTTGTTTATTTTAATGCTTATTGTTTATGCGAAACATGGTGAGCATTCTGATATTGATGGAAACGACTTATTTATAGAGCTAAGCATCTTGTGAGAAACTTTGCCGAAGGAAATAAATCGAGCAATGGAAGTGCTGAAATATATAAGACAAATAGATGGTTGTTTCTCGAATGCATGGGTTGCTTATCGTATTTTGTTAACCATATCAGTTATAGTTGCCTCTGCAAAAAGAAGTTTCTCAAAATTAAAGTTGATCAAATCGTATATTCGATCAACTATGCCACAAGAAAGATTGAATGGGTTAGCTATTTTGTCAATTGAAAAATAATTGGTTGAAAAGTTAGATTATTTCAACTTAATTAGCACATTTGCGTCTAAAAACGTGAGACGTGTAATATTTAAGTAATGTTTGCATATCTTTTTTCTTTGGATATGAACTCTAATGATTTTTGATGTAGAAATGAACCTTTTCATGTATTTAGCGAAACCTTTTCTTATACATATAAATGTACAACGAGTCGGGTATCAAAGAACTTTAGGGCCCCAACTCGAAGGCTTGCCTAGGGCCCCCAATTTCTCAGGGTCAGCCTTGATCTTGTCCAAGCCTAACAAAAGTTAAAAAATAGCCTGTTTCTCTCCTATTTCACTTTCACCTAACACACCTAAACCAACTAGAAAATTCCTCGTCTCTTACACGAAGCTAGCCTCTCTCTACCTCCCTTTTTATGTTGATTGGTTCGGAGTTTTTTCGTTTAAAGAAAAATGAAAAAGAAGTTGTCAATAACTCGGTAATTAATTTCTTGGAGAAAATAATGGACAGGAAGAACTGGTCCTTTATTATTGTATTTCCTAATTTGATTAGGAGTCATTAATTATTACTACAAGAGATATGATTGTATATATATTACCACCTCCAAAAGGGAGAAGAATAATAAAGAAGAATGTTTGAAATCCTAAAACTAATTTTATCTTGATCTACTTACTATGAGGTCTATGAGTATCTGTTGTGCAGGCTTTAGTACATGAAGTCTCTCAAAATTAAACTCTAGCATTTCTATTTTCTAGGTAGTGGATTCAAGGCTCGTTGTAATGCTATTCGATCCTGTGGAACACGAAATCATCCCTAGACAAGTTTTCTGGTCATTCTGGGAAAGGTCCAGTTTTGCTTTTCTCTGAGCCTTTTGAATGGATGTTTGGTTGCAAAGAATAATGTCCAATTTTGTGTTTGTGAGTTTGCATGGGATAATGTAACATATATAATATGGATTTAAAAGAAGACTTTCTTTGCCACATGTTGAACATAATATATTAGTAAACGACAGTGAGTTGTATTAACTGGAAAATTTAAAATTAATAGCAACAATAACATTTATCAGGTATTGTTCTTTATTACGAGAATAATAGCATAAGTTGCACATAAGTTAAATCGACATAACCTAATTCTAAATATCTTGTACATCCACCTAGAGAAGTTTCCCAAGAACCTTACTCTATCCCACAAGTTATTTCACTAGAGACATTTCACTGTTGATTTCTCTTGATTTCTCTCAACCGTGCCCATGGGAGAGCCAAATGCTCTAGCCATCTCTTTGGATGCTTCCCTGATGTCTGCCCTCTCACTCGGCTAGCATACCCCAACGCAAGCATTTCCATGCATTAAAAAAAAGCCAAAGGCATCAATCACCTTTCATCCACTAGCTTCTCTAGTTAAATGCTTCTAAAGTCAAAAAGCAAGTCTACTCTTGCTTTTCTTCTGTAACACTCCACATGGTCTGCATCTTTCAATATCCCAACGAAAGGTGACCTCTCCACCGACCACATTGTTCAATTGCTGCCAGCACATCATTATATGAGCCAATCACAACGTATCGAGAGAGGATCCAACTGGATCCTCTTTGGGGATTTCGAGGAGATCCTCTAATTACATCCGTTCATTGTGTATCGTGTGACCAGTTTTTATCAAGTATTGTTTATATTCACTTTTAAATAAAAAAATTACAATAATTTTTTACCGTACGATATATGATGAACGGATATAATTAGAGAATCTCTTAAATTCTCACAACCGGATAATAGACACAACAAATCTTTAAAAAAAAAAAGATATGGCAATTAAAATATAATAAATATTACATATATAAAAAATAATAAAGAAAATTCATAATATAACAAAGAAGGTTTGGTTCAGTTTGTGAGGTCTTTCAAAAACTGTCCTCAGTTCAATAAATTTAACAAAGTGTGTACTAACTTTTGTAAATTTCTTTTGTTAAGCTGATGATATGGCGTACAAGTAGATCTCACGTATCAATTCTAAATGTTTGTTGAGGACCAAATCTAAATTAGGGTCAAAGTTTAGGGACTAATTGTGCATTCTATGCTATTTTACATACAATTGATGAAAATGTCACTCAAAGTCCAATAGTGCACATTTGCTAAATTCTAAGACCTCAATTAACGAACTTTTTGTTTAGGGACTTAATCTAAGTTTGTGTGAAAATTTAAGTACCACTTCTAAATCTAAGAATAAATGGATAACAAATTAATGTCAGCTAAGGTTGTCAATGTCGAATTTTGTCTTAATTTATACCTCATTTCCCTGAACACGCTCTTACAATATGGAAAGAAACAATTTGGTGGCAACTGACAACTGCAGTAGTGTAAACTGAATAGATAGGAAGAGACAAAGTAGTTCCCAAGTGATATGATAGAGGGAAATTCATTTGAAGAAACACATTAGATTATTTTTTAAAAATTGTTAAAATCAAACTATTCAATTAAACAAAGTAAAGAATGGCAGAACGCAACATCGTCAATCTTTCTTGGAAATTATATATGATTCCCTTTCCACCAACTCCATCACTTTCAAAGATGACGTTCCAACTACTTTCGTCGTCTTCTTTTCCACTTATCATATTCTTTTCATCAATTAACATTGAATCATCTTTTCCTTTCATCATTTTAGTTATTCAATAGTAATCCATCAGTTTGGAGGTTGAAATATTTGGCAAATAACTTCTAGTCTTTTGTGCTTAGAGCTGATTGCTCGAAACATTGCCGATTTGGGTTGAGCAGCCAAATGGCCCTAGCTTCCTGCAATTTTTCAATGGGAATACCATGTGTTTCTGAGTTTCAGAGGTTGAATTAAGGGAGAATATGAAAAAATAAATGAGAAAAATTGTAGAAATTAATCGTCCCTCAATTTTAATTCAATTGGAGAAATGGTCCCTTAATTTTTACCCAATTGTATCAATAGTTCTTCTAGCATGACTCATCTTGACGGAATCCCGAAGTTGATAAAAAAAGACCATAATTAACTTTTTGATGTATTAAGGGACCAATAATCATGAATTTTTAGTTGATGAACCGGTTCAAGTTAAATGCCCATTGCTATGATTTTCTCATTGTTTTTAAAATGTTGGATGAGATTGTAATTTCAGCCAACTTGAGAGGTAATGCAATATACCCAAAAACTAAAGAAGAGTACCGATATTTTCATTGTGTCTTATTTCTCCACCAAGCATTTAATAAAAATGTTAATAATATATTTATCTTTTTAAAACAAGACTTTTAATCTCCTATTTAACTAATTACAAAAATTTTGAAACAAAACAAAACAAAATTTAAAATAATAAATAAATGTTTGTGGGTGGGGTGTGATATCTGTGGTGGAGAGAGGCTGGGAAAGAAAGACGAAGAGTGGTGAGGGACTTAAGTCTTTCTTGGAAATTAAGTACTTTCGTCGTCTTCTTTTCTACTTCTATTTTTATTTTTATTATATACGATACCCTTCCCACCAACTCCATCACCACTCTCTCTTTCCCCCTTATCTCCATCAGATCCTCTTTTGTTCTCTATCATTCACATTGCTTTCTCTCTCTGCTGCTCTCACCTCGACCTCTCTTCCTTTCCTTCCTCGCTCCACCAGCCAACCATTTGAGATCATCCACCGCTTCGAAAGTGTGGGAGAAGAGGAGGGAGGCGCAGATTAGATTAGAGACTGAAGTTTTAGGCTTCGGTTTTTGTATTTCCAAATTGCCCCAAAGATTTCAAGATTTCAAAAACTGCCTTAAAATATTTCAACCCGTATCGGAGGTGTGTCCAACCCATTGACGGGTGTCCTGACCGTGTCCAATCCGTGTCCGGGGCGTATCGTCGGCTTGTCCAAGTGTCACTTCAGTGCTTAGAGCTGATTGCTTGGAACACTTTCGATCTGCGTTGAGCAGCCAAATGGCCCGGGCTTCTGCTCCTGCAGTTTTTCCATGGAAATACCATGTGTTTTTGAGTTTCAGAGGTGAAGACACCCGCCGGGGTTTTACAGATCATTTATACAAACAGTTGGAGGCGCGAGGAATCAGGACTTTCAGGGACGAACCAAATCTTGAAAGAGGGACATATATCAATCCAGAGCTCCTGAAGGCAATTGACCAATCAAGGTCTGCAATCATAGTTCTTTCTACGAACTTTGCTTCTTCAAGTTGGTGTTTGCGAGAACTTACTCATATTGTTCGTTGCATGAAAGAGAAAAAGAGAAATTTTCCCATTTTTTATGGCGTGGATCCTTCTGATGTACGCCATCAACGAGGGAGTTTTGGGGAGGCCTTTGCGGAACATGAAGTAAATTATCGAGAACACATGGAGGAGGTAAATGAGTGGAGAAAGTCGTTAAAAAGGGTGGCTAATCTCGCTGGGTGGAATTCAAAGGATTGTAGGTAAGCATGAGGCAACAACTGACGTTTATAGCTGAAGAACAATTTTTTACTATTGAGAGTGCAAGTTCAGTGCAGATGGAGGCCAAAACGAGTTAGGGGTGAGGATCGGAGATCAAGAAATACCAAAGAGCGACCGTTTTCGTTACCTAGGATCTATCTTGCAAAAGAACGGAGAATTAGATGGAGATCTCAACCATAGAATACAAGCTGGATGGATGAAGTGGAAGAGTGCATCTGGCGTGTTGTGTGACCGCCGTATGCCACTGAAGCTCAAGGGAAAATTTTATAGGACGGCAATAAGGCCGGCGATGCTGTATGGCACAGAATGTTGGGCGGTGAAGCATCAACACGTACACAAAATGGGTGTAGCGGAGATGATGATGCTTCGTTGGATGTGTGGGCACACGAGAAAGGATAAGATTAGGAATGAGGATATCCGGGGTAAAGTAGGAGTAGCCGAAATTGAAGGAAAGATGAGAGAAAATCGGTTACGGTGGTTTGGACATGTGCAAAAGAAGGCCTACTGACGCTCCGATTAGAAGATGCGACTATGGGACAGAGGTTCAGGGCCGAAGGGGTAGAGGAAGACCTAGGAAAACTTTGGAAGAGACTCTAAGAAAAGACTTAGAGTACTTGGATCTAACGAAGGACATGACACAGGACCGAGCACAATGGCGTTCTAAGATTCATATAGCCGATCCCACTCAGTGACTTGGATTTTCCAAGTCTCCAACCGAGAAGTTTTCCTCACTCGAAAAATTAAGGGAACACTACCCCAACCTACATGCTCCACTCAGAAAGCTTCAACATACAAGCTTCAACAAAAGAAAATTCAAAGAACTTAGCGAAGAAGGCTTTGGTGTATTTAACACAATACGTTGAAATGAAGGAAAACTTATTTATTGATATCCCCGATAAGCTACAAATATGTACATATACATGAGTCAAAATAAACAAACAAGATGGAGCCTTCACAAAGGTTGCTTAGGAGAAGTCTCAGCAGTCGGTAGAGCCCCAGAAAGAGAAGGCATCGGAGGGGGATCATTCGGAGCCTCAGTACTGGACAGAACCCTAGAAGGAGGAGGCATCAGAGGTTGATCATTTGGAGCTTCATTACGCGGTACAGCCCCAGAAGACGAAGGCAATAAATGCCTTTGGAACAAACCCACAAATCTCTGATGATCAAGTAAAACCTGACCATCAGTTTCCTTCATCTGGTCAAGCTTCCTCTTCATGTTTGTAGCATAGTCATGTGCGAGCCGGTGCAACTGTTTATTCTCATGCTTGAGCCCTCTAATCTCCTGTTTGAGACTCATCACTTCGGCCGCCAATGATTCAACTTGGCGGGTTCGAGCAAATAGGCGTTGGGCCATATTAGACACAGAACCTGCACACTGAACACTGAGAGCCAGTGAATCCTTAACAGCTAACTCATCAGACCGTTTGGAAAGTAGTCTGTTATCTTTGGGAGTGAGAAGGTTCCTGGCCACCACCGCAGCGGTCATATCATTCTTCATCACGGAATCCCCAACGGTAAGAGGACCAGTAGGGGAGACGAAGGATGGGCGCCATATGTTGTCTGGAGAAGGCGGGGCTGCCTCTTCAACAAGGTTCAAGTCAAAACGACGGTCGGAGGGGCCAGACATTTTCAAAGGTATTGAAGAGAGAAGAGGTCGGACAAATCAAGATCTTAGAAGTGCAAGAATGGAGCTTCTACTGGTGGAGATTCAAGTGTGCTTTGGAACTTAATGCCAGCCCTATAAAAAGCTGCACTCGACGGAGCTTCAGACATCGAAGAGGCGCCTGCTCAGAAATCGAAGAGGCGTTTGCTTTCTCAAAAGCCGGGCTGCTTAGAGACCACGAGGGTTGATCTCATAAATCGAAGAGGTGTTTGCTTTCTCAAAAGTTGGGCTGCTCAAAGACCACGAAAGCCGATCTCAGAAATCGAAGAGGCGCTCGCTTCCTCAAAAGCTGGGCTCCTCAGAGACCACGAGGGCCGATCTCAGAAATCGAAGAGGCACCTACTTTTCCAGCCTTGTCAGCACCTGTCACACGCACACTCAGCTTTGCGGAAATTATAGGTATTCTGTCGAAGACTTCTGGGGAAGTAGAAAACACATGAATCTTACTGTCCAATCACCCACTTCCCACATGCAGCAATAGCTCATGGGTACCACAGATAACTTTGCCAAAGTTCTCTGCCAAAGTTGAGCACGTGAAGCTTGCAGCTCCCACTACATCGCTCTGACCAAGAAGGGTAAAAGAATAGCAAAGAAACAGCACTAACAAAGTTTAGACCCATAAATTTTGAAGGTCTAGCTACCATATTATTACCCACAAGGGTAAAGGAACAGTACCACTGTTGGATAATTGGAAAAGTCCCTGTGTGTCAACCTCTGTGCCTCGTGGCAAGGTAGACTAGCAAACATGCCCAACCTTTACTCACATTTGAGAAAACACTCCCAATAAGATTGCTTGCTCCAAAATCGAAGAGGCACCGTCCTCCGAATCTCGAGAGCCAGACTCCCAACATGACTACTTTCTCAAAAATCGAAGAGAGGGTAAAGGAACAGTACCATTGCTGGATAATTGGAAAGTCCATGTGTGTCAACCTCTGTGCTTCGTGGCAAGGTAGACTAGCAAACATGCCCAACCTTTACTCACATTCGAGAAAACACTCCCAACAAGATTGCTTGCTCCAAAATCGAAGAGGCACCGCCCTCCGAATCTCGAGAGCCAGACTCCCAACATGATTACTTTCTCAAAAATCGAAGAGACACTGCTCCCCGAATCTCGAGAGCCAGACCCCCAGCATGATTGCTTTCTCAAAAATCGAAGAGGCATCGTTCTCCGAATCAATCGAAGATGTGCTCGCTTTCTCAAAAGCTGGGCTGCTCAGAGACCACGAGGGCCGATCTCAGAAATCGAAGAGGCACCTTCTTTTCTAGCCTTGTCAGCACCTGTCACACGCACACTCAGCTTTGCGGAAATTATGGGCATTCTGTCGAAGACTTCTGGTGAAGTAGAAAGCACATGAATCTTACTGTTCAATCACCCACTTCCCACACGCAACAATAGCTCATGGGTACCACAGATATAACTTTGTCAAAGTCTCTGCCAAAGTTGAGCACGTGAAGCTTGCAGCTCCCACTACATCGCTCTGACCAAGAAAGGTAAAAGAATAGCAAAAAAACAGCACTAACAAAGTTTAGACACATAAATTTTGAAGGTCTAGCTACCATATTATTACCCACAAGGGTAAAGGAACAGTACCACTGCTGGATAATTGGAAAGTCCCTGTGTGTCAACCTCCGTGCTTCGTGGCAAGGTAGACTAGCAAACATGCCCAACCTTTACTCACATCCGAGAAAACACTCCCAACAAGATTGCTTACTCCAAAATCGAAGAGGCACCGCCTTCCGAATCTCGAGAGCCAGACTCCCAACATGATTACTTTCTCAAAAATCGAAGAGACACTGCTCCCCGAATCTCGAGAGCCAGACCCCCACCATGATTGCTTTCTCAAAAATTGAAGAAGCATCGTTCTCCGAATCTCGAGAGCCAGATACCACATACCACTTTTTCAAAGTGCTTTGACAGAGTTAAAACATGTGAAGCTGGCAGCTCCCACTACCGTGCTATGACCAAGCAGGGTAAAGGAATAGCATTACCACTTGTTGTTAGGGAGACTCCTATATATGTCGACCTCCATCCCCAACGGACAGGCAGACCTGCAAAAAATGCTCAACCCTTCCTCATATCTCTGAGAGGGCACTCCCAACGAAGCCTTTCGAAATATTCAGCTTTCTTTCCCCCCGATAATACCTCTGCAAACAAGCTATACTAGAGCAAGAATATCTCATATCATCAGGGTTAAAAGCAAGAGTATCCCATATCATGCTTTTTCCCTGTCTTTTCCTTTGGCCTTGTTTTTACCTGCAAGACAAGGAGAAAGAGAGCAATCAGTCAGCACTTGAAATCAAGCTCCCAGCCAGGAACTGACAGCCTGGAACCCCTTACCTGATTACTTACCTGGCATTGCTCTCGAGTACTCATCTTCAACATCTTATGTTGCCAGGGAAGATACCGCATCTGCTTGAGGAACAGATAGGGCAAGTGCGAAGGATACAAGGAAGCATGTGGAGACAAGCGTAACAGCACACGTGCCGATCCATCCATTACTTTGTCAAAAGCAAAAGTATCCCATATCAGCAGGGTCGAACGTACTCTAGATTTGATGGACTTGTTTTGACCCTCAAATTCTTCAGTCGGCCTTATACTCTGGAGGAAACCAGAAAACCCTCCAGCTCAGTTCAAGAATAAGCCTGTGGAAAGTTACTTCTTCAAAAGCAAAAGTATCCCATATCATCTCTTCTCATTTTTCTTCTCTTTATCTTCATATCCTGCTCATGCTGCTGCAAGATGGGGAGAAGGTGAACAATCAGCCGGAGCTCTGATTGCTTACCTTGTCTGTCACCTCTTTCAGCAAATCCCCTAGCTCGGCGACTTGGGGGACTCCTACTACATGGTTTGTATCGCGCTTGACCAAGCCTGAAACTACAAGTAAGCTTCAAGTGAAATTGATACATTACCTTGTGCATCTCCACCAGTTAAAGATACCACCCCTGGATGGAGGAAGAGTACTTCTAGAGAAGCTGCCACATCTACCTATGAGACAGATAAGGCAAGTCAAGATGATACCACACTCCGATACTTAGAAGTTTCGTGATTACGAGATCATTCTCCCACAATATTTCCTAATGTCATTTGTACTCTAATGTCATTTTGTACTAAATCATTCACTTGTACTCACTAAAGGAGAGCTTGAACCTATGTACTTGTGTAAACCCTTCACAATTAATGAGAACTCTTCTATTCCGTGGACATAGCCAATCTGGGTGAACCACGTACATCTTGTGTTTGCTTTCCTATCTTCTATCCATTTATATACTTATCCACACTAATGACCGGAGCAATTTAGCGAAGATCACAAAAAGCGACCGTTTTCGCTACCTAGGATCTATCTTACAAGAGAACGGAGAATTAGATGGAGATCTCAACCATAGAATACGAGCTGGATGGATGAAGTGTAAGAGTGCATCCAGCATGTTGTGTGACCGTCGTAGGCCACTGAAGCTCAAGGGAAAATTTTATAAGACGGCAATAAGGCCCAGCGATGTTGTATGGCACAGAATGTTGGGCGGTGAAACATCAACACGTACACAAAATGGGTGTAGCAGAGATGAGGATGCTTCGTGGGATGTGTGGGCACACGAGAAAGGATAAGATTGAGAATGAGGATATCCGAGGTAAAGTAGGAGTAGCCGAAATTGAAGGAAAGATGAGAGAAAATCGGTTCCGGTGATTTGGACATGTGCAAAGAAGGCCGACTGACGCTCCGGTTCGAAGATGTGACTACGGGACAGAGGTTCAGGGCCGAAGGGGTAGAGGAAGACCTAGGAAAACTTTGGAAGAGACTCTAAGAAAAGGCTTAGAGTACTTGGATCTAACGGATGACATGACACAAAACCGAGCGCAATGGCGTTCTAGGATTCATATAGCCGACCCCACTTAGTGGGAAAAGGCTTTGTTGTTGTTGTTGTTGTTGTTGTTGTTGTTTGTTCTTCTTGTAGGTATGATACAGAGCTTATCCAAGGAATCGTCAATACACTATGGGAGGGAGTGCATCCTACGTTGTCAATGTTGGATTCCTCAGAGAGGTTTGTCGGAATCGATTCTAAACGGAAGGAAATAGATTTGCTTTTAGAAACAGATGCAAACGATGTTCGCTTTATAGGGATATGGGGGATGGGTGGAGTGGGTAAGACAACCCTAGCTAGATTAGTTTACGAGAGAATTTCTCATGATTTTGAAGGTAGCAGCTTTCTTGCTAATGTTAGAGAGGTGTGCTCTAAGGATGGTATAGTTCATCTACAAAAGCAACTTCTTTCTGAAATCTTAGGGGAAAATAACATACAAATTTGGAATGCTTATAGTGGAATCACTAGGATGAGTAGGTGTTTATGTAATAAAAAGGTTCTTCTCATACTCGACGATGTGGATCAATTAGACCAACTGGAAAAGTTGGTCAAACAAAAAGAGTGGTTTGGTTTTGGGAGTAGAGTCATTGTTACAACTAGAGATGAACGTTTGTTAGTTGAACATGGTATAGAGATGGTATATGAGGTTAAGCCATTAACCCAAGATGAAGCTCTTTTTCTCTTTAGTCGGAAAGCCTTTAAAGATGATGAGTTGGAAGAAGATTTTTTAGAACTGTCTAAATGTTTCATCAATTATGCAAGTGGTCTTCCATTAGCTCTTAAAACTTTAGGGTCTTTTTTGTACAAAAGAGGTCGAGATGAATGGAAGAGTGCACTAGATAAACTGAAGCAAGCTCCTGATAGGAAAATTTTTGAAACATTGAAAATAAGTTATGATGGACTAGAAGAGTTTTATAAGAGAATCTTCCTTGACATTGCATGTTTCCATAAGTCTTGTGAAAAGGAGCGAGTAATTGAAGGACTAGAAAACTGTGGCTTTGTTGGCGCTCGCGTTGTGATTGAAGTTCTTATTGAGAAATCTCTCTTGTATATTTCATACGTGTGTATTTCATTCAATTCTCTGTCTATGCATGATTTGATACAAGAAATGGCATGGGAGATAGTTCGACAAGAGTCTTATGATGAGCCAGGTGGTCGTAGTCGGTTGTGGCTTCCTAAAGATATCTGGCATGTGCATGCAAAGAATACGGTAAGAAGTTGCGTGAAAATGAAAATACCAAAGCTTGGATAGGACACTATAATACTATTTAACATGATAAGAGACTTGATTACAAATTAACTATTCCTTTAATCTTATTTATCAGGGATCAGAGGCAATTGAAGGCATAGTCTTACGGTTGAGTGAATTTGAAGAGGCACACTGCAATCCTGAAGCATTCACTAAGATGTGTAAGCTGAGGTTGCTCGACATTCATAATGTGAGCCTTTCTAAGGGCCCCAAGCATCTTCCGAATGCTTTAAGAGTTCTCAAATGGAGCTGGTATCCCTCCAAATGTCTACCACCATTTTTTCAACCGGATGAACTTACAGAACTTAGTCTGCGGCATAGCAAAATTGATCACCTTTGGGATGGAATAAAGGTAGATGATTGGACAATTGATTTTTACTATGTCAATTACAATAATTGTAGTTTCTAAACATGAACTGTTGTAACATTTCTATTTTGTACAGGGCTTGGGCAAGTTGAAGTCTATCGATCTTAGTTACTCCCACAACTTGACAAGGACCCCAGATTTCACAAGTATTCAAAATCTCGAGAAGCTGGTTCTTGAAGGTTGTACAAATTTAGCTAAGATTCATTGGTCCATTGCGTTTCTCAGAAGGCTTAGAATTTTAAATCTTAAAGACTGTAAAAGTATTATGATTCTCCCAAACAAGGTAGAAATGGAATCTCTTGAAGTATTTGACATTTCTGGCTGCTCAAAAGTGAAAAAGATTCCAGAATTTGTTGGAGAAATGAAAAATTTCCGGAGACTTTCTTTAAGCCGAACTGTTGTTCAGGAAATCCCTTCCTCAGTTATACGTAGCAGTTTGGAGGAGATTGATTTAAGTGGAACTGCCTTGAGAGAGATGGAATCCTCCCTTGTTTCAGTGAAAAATTTGGTACTATCAAATTTTATGGGAAGTAATGCACCACCAGCTAGATCATGGCGTTCCTTCTTCACTTTTGGTGAATTTCCAGCAAAGATTTCTCACCCTGCGAGTGTGGTCTTAGCTTCGTTGAGAGATTTATGCTTTCTGAAGGATTTAAATTTGGAGAACTGCAATCTTTGTGAAGGAGCAATTCCCAAGGATATTGGTCTCTTGTCCTCTTTAGTAAGGCTAAATCTTAGCGGAAACCATTTGGTTAGCCTTCCTGCAAGCATCAGTGGGCTTTCTAAGCTGCATTATTTAAATCTTGAGAACTGCAGTCTTTGTGAAAGAGCAATTCCCGAGGATATTGGTTTCTTGTCCTCTTTAGAAACACTAGATCTTAGCAGTGGGCTTTCTAAGCTGCAGTATTTAAATCTTGAGAACTGCAGTCTTTGTGAAAGAGCAATTCCCGAGGATATTGGTTTCTTGTCCTCTTTAGAAACACTAGATCTTAGCGGAAACCATTTTGTTAGCCTTCCTGCAAGCTTCAGTGGGCTTTCTAACCTGCGGAATTTTTTCTTGTCAAATTGCAAAAGGCTTCAACAACTGCCAGCCATTGCAGATGATCGCAGATTTAGACGTTATTGGTGCAGTTTGGAAAATTGCTTCAGTTTGGGTGGAAATCAAAGTTGTAATGCCATAATGTATTCAATGCTAAAGAGATTCAATCAGGTATTTCTCTCTCCTATCCTCGTCTCCTTAGTTGTGTACATTTATTTACGTTGTTCCTTTGTGCAGGAGCTCCCTTGGTCTTGGGATATAGTAATTCCTGGAAGTGAAATTCCTGAGTGGTTAAATAACCAAAGCATGGGAGATTCGGTGATTGAGAAGCAACCTTCGCACTCAAGCAATAGCAAGGCAGTGGGGTTTGCTTTTTGCGTTCTATTTGTAGGTTCTCAAAATATTTCAGCTCCCAATCGTGGAGTAAAATGGTCAAGACATTATAGGCATGAAATTACATGTTTGATCAATTTTGGTTCAAACACCACCTTTCAAGACACTCCTGAGTGCCCTCTTCGCTGTATTACCGAGGAAGTAGCATCAGATCACCTTTGGTTGAGCTTTCTATCTATGAATTGCATTGGTCGGCATTCGAAGGGGAAATGTTGGGATCAGATTCGGTTTCGTTGCAAAAGCGAGACAGGCTTGAAGGTGAAGAAGTGCGGAGTCTGTAGACTGTATGAACAGAAGAAGAGCTCAACCGAACGATGAAACAATATTCCAACAGAAGCATTTCTTTGTGTGAGGATATTACCAATTGTGATTTTGAGGAATGAAAAACTGTACAACGAGACGTGATTAAGCGGAACATGTTAGCAATACAGTAATGAAGCAGGACCCAGTGAAAGTGGAAGTTCCTCCAAAGGAGTCAAAGACCAAGTTGCACGATTTTCTGTTGATGCCTTGCACGTTAAAAAATCAAGGGTCCAGAAAACCTTGACCCATGCACTTGTACTCTTTGTAGGCCACATTTCTGCATTTTCAAATTATATTATTAACTCTCAAAACTAATCATATGAAAACGCTTAATAATGTTTTAATCGACATAATCTGCTTACTTGTCACGTTCGGGGTGGTTATTGTCGCTCCAGCCGGCAGGGTCAACCACCTTGGTCATGTTGGTGTACGCATACACCATCTGGGGTCCGGCTCTCCAAGCCCTGCCCAAATATGTGCCACTGCCTGTCCCATTAATTATATGTTACATTATTAGTCACCAACCATCAAAAATTCAAAACCATGACTCATAGACAAACAAAAAGATTAACTACATATATCTTAGTTAATCCACCCAAACTATGTTTTGAGAGGGGGTACAATCAGGTGGAATCCACTGTTTATATGGTGAGACTCACATAATCCACTCAATCATTGTCACAGTCTTCATAAATTATAGGAAAATTATGGTGAAAACAGATAACCTGCATACATCTATATTAGAATGACTTAACACTTGAGTGTAAATAGACTAAATATAAACATTTAGAAAAGAACAAACCTGTTCGCGAAACATAGGCGAATCATCCAGCTTTCCAAAATACGTGTTTTGAAGGATACAGAGATCGTCTTCTCATCTTCCATGCAAACCTGCCCCAAAAACCACTATACTCAATACTAATGAAAATCTCACGGACCAACAAAGAATATTGGAATTTCTTGAACCAAAAATGATTTACGAAATTTGTTAATCTCACAACTAATATTGGTCTTGATAGAAATTCAAAACTTTGATCAGATTATAGGATTTTGAAAAATAGTCAATACCATCTGAAACAAAATTCCATATTTCTCAGAAAATTATGAAAACAATCTTGTTTGAGTTACATGAATTTTCCTAGTATCCAAATAGCATGTAAATTTTCCTAGCATCCAAATAACAGGTATGGTCAAAAGCTCAAAGTTCAAACAAACAATGAAAACCATATCCTCAAATATGTGGTTGGAATGAAGAGATTTAGGGGGAATTGAAATTCGAAAAGTTCGATCCACCCATTACAACCCCTGGCATTAAACTAAATCCCACGCCTACTAAAAAGACACAGCAGAAAATTACTCAATTTCAAAATCCAAATCAGAAAATAAAAACTTAATAATCCTGCAATTCAGACGAACACACCACAACTAAAATCAGTGAACTGTTTACATTAAAACATATGAAATTACAACCCATTTGATAGAAGATTAAGATTTCATTGTTTTAACAGAAACACTGAAAAATGAACATTTCACAGCGAAGAACTAATTTCTCATTATTTTAAAATTAGTCATCAAATATCATAAATAAATAAATAAACCCAAAAGAATGCAAAAAAATTGGAACCTTTGGGTGAGCAAGTAGACGACATCGCCCTCTTTGAAATTGGCTTTAGCAGCCAAAGCAATGTCTCATATCAAAATCCTTTCTTCCTCCGGCGAAAGCTCTGTGCTGCCGCTGCACCCAACCATGAATCAGAGAAGAAACAGAGGGTTGAGTATGGGGATGAGAGACTTCCACCGCGAGATAGAAAGAAGAGAGAGTGTGTGCATTTAACAATTTAAGCATGATCTGATGGATTTTTAAGAATGAAATTTTGCCATAACGAACTTTTCTTAACAAATTTGTAATCTTTTCCTCTCAGCCAAACATAAAATCCAAAGATCCTTCATATTTTCTTCTCTCTTCGTTTCGGGTTTCGACCTAAAACCCTAATTTGAACCCAAATTCATAGAAAGAGGAAGAACATCGGATCTACTACTAACCTTCGTTCTAATCATTCTCTTTGAACTCGTTCTCCAAAGCCTTATCGATCATGTTGGCAAAGCTACCTTCTTTGAGCTTGGAGAGCGAGACACTGGACTCGGTGGGCGTTGGCGTTGAGGAGATCTGAGTCAGTGACCAAGTCGTCAGCAGCAGCGATCCCTACTCCTCAGTCTCCCTCTCTCTCTCTCTCTGTCGCTCTGTCTCCCTCACTCTCTATCTCTATCTCAGAGGCAGCATGGCCTCCCATCCCCGAAACCCTCACCGAATGACAACACCGTTTCTCTCTCCATCTCCCTCTCTTTGCGCTAAGCCACCCAATCCATCCCAAACCCTACGGACAAAATTACTCTCCTAACTTTTGATAATTACCTTCCAACCCAGCCCGAGATATGATGGTACTGATGTAAATAAAGAAAAATCGAGAGCCAATCATTTGACTGTAGCTAAGCTACAGTCAAATCCCTCCTCAACTTTAGAATAGATAACTAGAAAATGCTACCCGCGCGTTGTTGCGGGAGAAAGATTATGTTTGAAAGATATAAAAGATTGCTCATTGTGATAGAAGATTAATAATATTTACATTGAAAATGTTAGAAAGATGTTCATGTACCAAAGATTAAATGGATAAAGCCAACGTACAAAAAATCGTAGCTCAACGGAATACAACTTTTCAGCAAAGAATTGATTAAACCAAAAACCAAACACATGAAAATCAAACTTTGAGAACCAATTCTCTTCCCAAGCTTCAAAATCGAATTCAATCAACTTAATTGCCCTGACGAATCAGTAATATCAAAATCAGCTAGGATCAACTCAAACAACCCAACATCCCTACGTCAACACACACAACTAATACATAACCTATTTGACCTCATAAAAATCAAATATGCACAGGAGTAGAACGTTTTCCAAAGTATAAAATCCACACGAAATTTCTGACCTCTTGTTCTCCCTGAGCATTTTCAAAAGCTTCCTTGCAAATTGAATTGGCAACACACCGTTGATGTTGTTGATGTTGATATGTAGCTGTTTATTGAAGGAACACATAAAATGAAAACAAATCGAAAGACAGTTATTTAGCGAGAGTCGATAATCTCATTTTTACCTCAAGAGAAGCAAAATCGAAATATACAACTAACCAAAAATAAATTTAAAAAAAAAAAATCTCTCAAAATATGTGGAGTTACCTAATTAAGTGGGTTCTTTGGCGTTCCATACTCAGTAGCTAGAAAACCAAAAACATGTCATGCATTGCAGAGAAAGTTAATGCGATAAACGTCAAGTTTATCAATCATATTTGCATGATAGAAGCTGCTGGAATAAATTTAATCATATTCATTACCCAATCTGGAAAATTTAAAATGTAAACATACAAAAGATTTACTTACATATTATATTTCTGTCTTTGGTAAGTGCTTTGCAGACAATCACACATTTTTTTCTCTTATTTTGGTAGAAGTATACGGTCTACAATTTTGTTAAAATAAATAAAATAATATAATATTAGAACAATGCCCTTAAACCATGAAGATTTAATGTGGAGAAATTGGAAGTTGAAATAAGTGGAACATAGGACAGAGGAGAAAATTCAAAGAATATTGTGATCAAAATCGGAACTTAGTGAGAGTTCAACAAAAAGATCAGTGGAAAATGCACTCACACACCAACTTGAAAAAAAAACTTAGTATGAAATAATTGTGTCAGGAATAGAAAAATGCAAACTTTGTATGGAAATTAAAGATTTACTTGCAGACCGGCAACAACAAAAGCAAATGGAATACAACGGGAGTTACTGCAATAGTGAGAGGGAGGGAGGGAGAGAGATTAAAGATGAGTGATCAGTTAAAGCTATAATTTTTTAAGCATGTTCTGCAATATGAATCATTTAGCTATCACAATAACATGCTTGAAACAAACAATATGCATAATCGTGGTGTAAAAGAAAAAAAAAAAAAACAGAGATGCAATATTACCAACATTCATGATCATTATCCAGAATCGCTAAAGTAAACAGAAAATCAAATTAATATCTCTCTATTTCTAATCCATCTTCCTATTGTATTGTGATAAGGTTTATACTAAACAATGTTTTCCACCAAAATTTAATAACAAAAAGATCATAGTAGAAGTTAACATCAGAGAAAGAGTTGACCTCTACCTCTTATATGTTGATCCTACCAATCCCCTACCAATCCCCTGCATACTTGATCTCTTTTAAGTCCACCTGTTAAAAGAAAAAAAAACACAAAATTTGTAACACAATTTGAACAAAAAGAAAGTTCTCAATTAGAGAAAACTTCAGTTTCATGTAAAGAAATTGTGTTCTAATTTCAGGCTTAACTATGTAATATTGGGATTTGCGTTTAGCTCAAATAAGTAAGATAAACAGATAAAGCAAAGGATAAAAACAAAATCTATATCGATTTGATTATCCATTCAAAAGGACATTTGAAAAAAAAAAAGATTTTTATGCATCCAAACAAACAGCCGTTAAACTAAAAAATTAGTTAACTAATATTTACATTTGAAAAGTGTAAGTAGATATTTTTCTTATCAATGCATCAACCAATATGCAGTGCAAATGAGAAAACTGAAAATCAGATTTGAAAATATCTAATTTTTTGCTCCACAAACTTAATTTTTTTTGCTAGCTTCAAATGGACCCAAACTTTGGAATGGAAATATACTCATTCCTATCTAAAGGTCGTACCCAGTGCACAAGGCTCCCGCTATACTCATTCCTATCTGAAATTGAAAATTTATATTTTGTTAGTACAACAATATATAAATGCATTCATGTAGCATGTCTCCAAAATAACAATACTACCCATTCAATAAGGCAAAAACAAAAAACTAAAGTGAAATATTAAAACTTGAAAAAGAGATTTTGATTTGGTAAAAGAGTTTAGTTGCTTCCAAAAGTGAAAGCGATCAATTTGTTTTCTATGAAACTGTAAAAAAAGTAGCATAACAAATAAGGACACGATGGATGATTTGTTTTCTATGGATATAGCTGATGTTAACTCCGCCGTGTAAGTTTATCTTACATTGCCAGTCCCAAGCCCGGATAAAGGAGGAGGGGGAGGGCGTCAGGTAGTCGACAGCCGGCACTCCATGATCACGTCGAATCCTTATGAAAATGAATCCAGAACGAAATCGCGCTAAAGCTAGGGCGTCACCCGTAAGTGGCGCGCTGTGTGGCCCGAGCACAGTGATAAGTAAGCAAGGGTCGCTGTATCTCCATCGGCACCCGGATGCAGTGTTAAATGAG